GGCCGAGATCCGGATGGAATCACACGACCCGGAACTGTCGGTTCCCTCCGATCGTAGGAGGATTTGATCGACGAGAACAACGGCCGAGCGATTGCCGGTCTTCTACGCGACGATCGCACCGCGATACTCGCGGACGCGTTTCCCCCATACGAAAAATATCGCACGGAACGCAAAGACAACGAGACCGGAAAGGCGCAACGAAAGTTCGTCGATGGGCCCGGGGGACTGAGGTTGCGCTCGCGCGCACGAGAGGTGGTCGAAAAAGGAGGCGGGGCCCCCAACCTCGTCGGCCCCGGTACATCGCGCAGGAGGGGGTAACCGAACCGTTTCGTTCTTATAATTTTTCTTCCCGCCACCAGAGGCGCTGCCCACGGTGATTTCGTACTACCGTACTACGGCGTCGCGAAGCACCACCTGCGAGTTTCTCGAAATTTTCGACCCTGTACGGCCATCGGACGTCCCTCCAATCGTGGTAAGTTCGACAATCACATCAAATCCTAACCGTACGCGACCGGAATACTCGAGTACACTGAAAACTATTGGCAATTGCTCGAATACCTCGCGAAATTAGAAGCTAACCTCAAAATCACGGACGAAAACTGTTCCGTACGTTCCAGTAAATTGTTTTTAATCACTCGAACGAAACGTAGTTCTACCGCCCCTCTGACGTCGACTTACGAACCGGTGCCGCGTTTCCGACGCGCTTATCGGCGAGTCGATAGACCTAACGAGGGCCGCAATAAATGTAAAAGACATCCCGCGGAATAATTCTACTAATAGAAATTGATTAAGAACATTTCAAGTTAATCGAGATCGCGATGAACGAGAGTACGCGCAGTCGCTGCCGATCGTGAGACGATCGACGCGGGAGTTTCAAAATGAAACGCCGTTTTCTTCTCGATCCGTTCCGATACGCGTCGCAAATGAAAGTTGGACGACGAATACGGATGAGCGATCGAGTAATTCGTCTTACCGCCCTTGGACGCGCGATCGACGTAGATCGTCAAGTGGGCGGGACCGTTCGACGTTCAAGTTCGATCGTTTCGGTACTGCGAATCGTCGAATCGTTAGGAAAAGAATACACTAGTCGCGTAATATTTCGAGAGAAAGGACCGTAAGAGCGGCGTGACGAGGATTGTCAGATTCTGGAGCGTGGTATCGATGTTTCCCGAGCGACTTCTCGATTCGTCACGGTGCCGGGGACGAGCATTACGCGCGGCGGACTGCTTTACGATAATTTCGGACGAAGATTCGAGTCGGAAAAGAATCGAATGGAGGTCGAAGGATACGAGTTGGTCAGTTTGTGGATAGTCGGTGAGCGGATCTCGTTTTGGCGGGCACCGGTGGTGGCGCTGGCAAGGCCGGCGGTGCCGAGGGGAGAGGGGCACTGGCGTACCAACTACCAGGTTGTGCCCGCCTACCAGGCGGAGCCCGCATGATCTATAGCGTCATAGAACACCCCTGCCGTCGTGGTAGGAACGCGATGGCGACGCCCACGGTGTGGAACGTGCGCGCTGCCCCCGCCGCCGCCGTCGCTGCCGCTGCCGCTGCCGCCACCGCCGCCGCCGTCACCACCACTGCCAGCATCGGGATGTTTATGCTTTTGCCGCTGCGTCTCTATCTAGTCGCGGCCCCGCTGCCGCGCTGTTCCTCTTCTGTCGTGGCTGCTACCGATGCTGCCAGTATCGCCGCCGCCACTGCCGCTACCATCGCTACGATCGCCACCGTTGTCGTCGGCGTTGGTATCGTGGTCGTGGCTCTCCTCTGTTCCTACCTCGAACTTATCCGGCTCGTTCCACCTTGCGTTCATTACCGCTAAACATTCCTGTCAATTAAAACTGCACCGACGCCCGATTTACTGCCACCTCACCGTTCGTCCTTCGTGAGAGCCATCCCCCGGTACTCCTTGCGGTACCGATATACGCGATCCCGAGGAAAGCCTCGTTTCCTTGCACTTTTTACAAGTTTCGCCGCGACTCGACACACTTTCCTATTAAACGACATTCGCTGGATTCTCCGAGGAGAATCCTGTTTTCGATGTGTCGCCCGACGTTTGATCGGCATCCGACTTTTACCATCGGCAGACGCACGGGGAGATCGACGGATCGGCGAGTCGAGCTCCGAGGCGTTTCTCGCGTTCGATTCGTCCGTAAAATTCAGTGGATCTTGGTATAGCTGTCTCTGTTCGGGGGGCGTGCCGATGACTCATCGAATCCGGCAGCTTCGTTCGCTACAACACCATGAAATTCTTTCGTTAATTATTCATCGTTACTTCAAATTGTAGACATTAAGCGTGAGAGACGGACTCGAGACAGCCTCGAGACGGATTCGAGACGAAAATACCGCTTCGTTTTTGGTTTCGATCCGAGGAATTCTCCGTGTGCCAGACAATCGCGAGGCGAACCGCAATTGCGCAAACGTCTCCCGCTCGTGAATATTCGCATTAGCGATAGCCACGATTGGCAGAACGGCGCGCGTTACTTTCGAGTATTTCCCTTTTAATTTAGTAACGCGTATTCGGATCGTCTTCGCTTTGAAGGAATTTTCTCGATTCTCGGGACACGCCGGCTATCCGCGACGATCGTCACGCTCGAGTTTTACGCCAATGGTGCCGGGGCTTCGGAGCGGCGGCGACTGTCATAAAGAGTATTTTATTTCGACGATTGCGGCGCCGTTTTTGTTCTGGGGTCGCGAAGCGATCGTGTCGTTTCTACGCGCGTCAGGCCAATTCAACGCCGGCGACATTCGCGGCCCGACGTTTACGAGATCGTTTATTAGGTGACGTTCCCATCGAGTGGTTTTACCGGTAGCTGGATCTTCTCCCCGTTTCTAGAGGCCACGTTAAAGAAGATTCCAACTTATCGCGATGCGCCATCGAGAATCGTTATGCCGCACAAAAGTTTAGGGAAAAAAAGGGTCCCCGAGCAGCGGCGGGGTTGCGTGTCGGAGGAGGCGTATTTCGGTTGCACAGTTTCGGACCACCAAACATTTTTCGTCAATTACCGAGCCCTCGAGATACCGCGATTCGACGATCGCGGACCGGTTCGAGGAATTTCCCATGTTTCTTCTTCTAGTAGAGCCAAGCTTCTCGATGAATATAACTCTCTTTTTTCTCGTCTGTGGATCAAGACGATCACGGGGACGGGGAGAAAGAAAAGAGAGAGAGAGAGAGAAAAAGAAAGAGGGAAAGAGAAAGAGAGAAAGAGAGAAGTGTCGAGACAGTTAGTAGAACCGAAAAACGGTTTGGTGCGCGCGTGGTTCGCGTCAGTTGCGTTTGTGTCTCTCGGTGACTGCGGGGGTTCCTTTTACGAGCGTTCCCGTCGTCGGTGGACGAGACCGGAGGCACTAAACTTGCGAATATTTCGAAAGATGTCCCGTTATGCAACGACAATGTGGGTCAGCGCACAAGTCCATTGTATACGTTTGCTCGTTTTGTACCGTCAGCTCCCCGCGAGACCCGAAATAAGTGCACCTCGTAAAATAAAGTGCTGCACACCGCTTTCCTCGACTATCTATTGCGCCGGCACCATCGATCTCGAGACGATTCCTCGACGTTCCGAAATTTCCATACGTACTCGCCCAAAAACACACGACGGCCGTGTAACGTTCGAACGATGAACGACGAATGTCGCCGAGTCGTTTCGCCGACGTCACCGTGTCGAATAAGTCGATTAAAACCGGAACCGCCGTTTCCCGTGATCCGAAAACGATCCTGTCGTACGGTTTCACGGCGTTCCCGCGCGTCAAATCGTCTCTCGGCGAACGCTGCGTCCTCGACGCGCGAGACTCCCGAGAAGGATGATCGAGCGATTACCGTTACACGGATTGTATAATTCGGCAAACATCGAAAAACGGGAGAGAAAGTTTTACTCCGAATCGTAGCCGAATTCCCTTGGAATGCGACGTTCGGAGATCGTGCGTGTTCTTTTTCGCTTTTAGAACCGAGTCGCGGATAAACAAGGTGAGTCATAAAACTACAGGCATAACGTTAAGTCGCGGAGAATGCACAGATACGTAGACGTCCCGAGGTAGATTTACTATCGACGATTCATTCACCGCGTTCATAAATTCGTAGAAAAAGATCCCGCATACGAGAGTGTTTTCGAGACGCGATCGGTTTTCGCCAAATATTTAGTATTCGGAGGATCACTCGATGGATAGAATCACTCGAAGAATGCGGCTGATGGATCGGTTTTCATCTATCCTCCATTAATTTTCTGTCGGTGTTATTTCCTGATTACCAATGTTTCCGACCACCGATTCCTTATTCGTCGATAAGATCGCGATCGATCGACACTGTGACACTGTAAATTGGGGAAAGACTTCTTGCCGTTGCGCTGTTCCGCTAGACGTAAAGTCATCTTCCAAGTGTACGAGTCGTTTAACGAATACCCGCGACAACGTTCTCTTTCCTCGACAAATTCTCTCACGAGGTGGGTAAAAAAGGTCGTCCTCGCGGTCGGCCTTTCTGAAAAATGCAGCTTTCGCGTTTGGGAGGGACGGCGAGGAAAAGCGAGTGAAAGCGAGCAAGAGCACGGCCAAGGGAGAAGAGGCGGGAAGACTTCTACCGTTCGAGGGGGCAATGCGGAACGAGCCCTGCCCGAAGCGACGTAACCTTCACGGTTTCGAAAATAGCCGAAGCTCTCGTCGAATACGGCGGTCGACGATTAGTACGATCCGATACCGGATGAGAAGTCAGCTGACCAGATTCGACTCGTTCGAAAATAATTCCTTGGGTATTTTCACATGGATAAATCGCAGGCGAACCCCCACGGTCAGCCGCACGCTCACGGCTACGAACCTATCGGTCGGTCTCGCACCTGCTTTTTTTCATACCGATCAAAGTCCACGGATCTCGGGATGGTTCCCGATGCATTATTTCGAGCGATGGTTGGTATCTTTGCTCCGAAACATCAATGTCCGTGGAAACGAGCCGCGGTACGAGACGAGAGACGAGAGACGAGAGACGAGAGACGGGCACGATCGTACTTTAACGTTCTTTCCCCGTAGTGCTCGCATATTTTCGTGCTCGTTGAAAGTTTACGACCTCGATAAACTTGCCGCGTTTCTAACGTAACGAAATGTTTTCGGGTCGATCCGTGAATTTTACCTTGTATCGAGAATGTGAGAAATCGCGGACGAATGGTCGGCGAACCCCGCTATCGATACCTTACGCGGCAGATAACAGGGAAAAATATTCGATCGTGCGATCGAGATAATGAAATGCTCGGCGAATACGAATCGAATACGTTCGGCGTGTCGCGTTCGCCGAGTGTGCCTCGTTGCGAACAACAATTAACAACGATCCAACGGCTCTGAGAACACGGATAAATGAAAGCCGTGGATTCGAAAGGGGCGAGTCCGGTCGGATCGTGACCGAAAGATCGGTATCGCCGCGGAAGAAAGGAGCGAAATGTGTACACCGGCGTTTCATCGAAGTTCCATTCGATTCGATGGAAGGTGGCGGTTCAAAGTCGAAAGAGGTTTCGCGGCCGTTAGGGACGCGGTAGCCCGATGGACGTCGGGTTTGACGGAGCGAGTATATAGGGGTCGTCGTGGGGAGCGTGGAAAAGCAGAGTCGTCGTCGGTGATACGGCGGCCGGCGCGCAATTGGCCGGTTGCTGGAAAACGAAATCTCGTTTGTCGCGGGAAGAGAAGTAGAGGCGATACTCCCGGCGAGCTTTGCAGGCCTCGCGCGGCACGGGTCGAGGGTTCGCGCGTCGATGCGTATAGCAGCGGCAGCATTCGTAGAAGGTTCGGTATAGGGAGTACGGAGCGCGGTCGTAAGGGTGGGCGAGAGCCGGAGGTTGAGGCGGTGGTAGAGGAGGTCTGGGGGCAGGAG